GTGGAAAACCCCTAAATAATATAGGGTAAAAACCACGGGCAACGGTAGAATAATTTCACTATGAGAAAATAAAAATGACAACTTCTCTCGATCTACCAAGGAGAAAACAATGATAATTCTCTCTTGATAAAAAGGAGAAAACAACTTTCAAGAAACTCTCTAAATTCTCTAGTATTGGGTGAAAATGATTTGGTATGGTTTTGAAGCTAAATGAGCTAGGGTATTTATAGTTGAAGCTTAAAGACTAATTTGTAAATACCTTAAATTAGAATGACTAAAATTGATATTTAACCATTGTCCAAATTCAACAATTGTGTACTGCCTTTTTGACAATTGTATTCGATGGATTAATTAATTTTTTCTTTCAACATTTGCATGCTATTTTCGGTGCATGCCAAATATTCAACAATCTCCCACTTGAAGATTTGATTGGAACAATCATATCTTCACACCATTCTTTCTACCTTGTACCATCATGTTGCTTACGTCTCTAATAGACCACAAGAAGATCAACACCAAGTAAATTTATCAACATTGATCGCCTTCGTCATGAAATATGCTATGTTGTCTTTGGTATGGATCTTCTGCATATCTACCACCCTTTCTTCTACCTTTTCACGAATAAAATGGTATTGAACTCGTATGTCTTTTGCCCTTGAATGAAATGATGGATTCCTTGCTAGATGTAAGGCGCTTTAACTGTCACAAAATAGAGAGACATACTCTTGATTGTGCCCAAGCTCCTCCAATAACATCTTCAACCAAATTGTTTCTTTACTGGCTTGTGTAGCTGCTACATATTCTACCTCTGTTGTGGATGTAGCCACAACTGACTGCAATTTTGAAACCCAGCTTACAGCTTCACCAGCAACTTTGAACACATATCCTGTAGTAGATTTGCTTTTATCCATATCTCTTGCATAGTCAGAATCGACATACCCATTGATAAGTAAATTTGATCCTCCGTAACATAATGCAACATTTGAGGTCCCTTTGATGTATCTCAGGATCCTCTTTACTGTATTCCAATGCTCTTTGCCTGGATTCGCCACGTACTGACTAACCACTTTCACTGCTTGTGCAATTTATGGTCTTGTGCATATCATAGGGAACATTAAACTTCCCATTGCCGATACATACGGTACTCGAGACATCTCCATCCTCTCTTCTTCACTGCTAGGACTCATACTGGAGGATAATGTGAAGTTAATAGGAAGAGGGATAGAAATTGGCTTATAATCTTGCATGCTGAATCGTGACAAGATCTTCTTTAAGTAATTCTTTTGTGAAAGCCAAATCTTCCTATTACTTTTATCTCGGTGAATTTGCATCCCTAGAATCTTGTTTGATGATCCCAAGTCCTTCATTTCAAATTCCCTAGCCAGTTGTGCCTTTAATTCTTCAATATGATCTTTTTTGAGTCCTGCAACCAACATGTCATCCACATACAACAACAATATAAAAAAAATTATTATCACCAGACCTTTTGAAATAAGCACAAGGGTCTACATTATGTCTGTTGTATCCAAGGCACATAATGAAGGAATCAAATCTCTTATACCAATATTTTGGCGCCTGCTTTAGACTGTACAAAGATTTTTTTAACCTGCAAACCAAGTTCTTCTTTTCTTTTTCTTCAAAACCTTCAGGCTGGAGCATATAAATCTCTTCATCAAGATTTTCATGAAGAAAAGCTGTTTTAACATCTAGATGCTCTAGATGTAAGTTCAATGTAGCACACATTTCCAAGACTACTCGAACTGTTGTCAGTCAAACCACAAGAGAAAAGATTTCATTAAAATCAATACCTTCTTTTTGAGCATATCCTTTAACCACCAGTCTTGCACGATACCTCTCCACTTGATTGTTACCATTTCGCTTGATTTTGAAGACCCATTTGTTACCATTTGGCTTCCTTCCTTGTGGTAGTGGCACAAGGTCCCATGTATTATTTTTATGAAGGGTTTAATTTCTTCTTGCATCGTCATCATGCACAGTGAAGCATCTGAGCTGTTTATTGCCTCCTGGTATGTTGATGACTCACCGTCCTCTGTTAAAAGACATTATGCAATATTTCATTCAATAACGTAATCTGAGTGCCAATTGGGACGTCTTCTCACATGATCTGATTGACGAGTTTTTGGAGCTTCAGAACTCTCTGGTTCTTGTTCATCAATGTGTTGGTTCTACTTCAGAAGAATCTCCTTGTCCAACCTCTTTTTCCACATGTATTTGTGTAGTCTCTGACTTTTCAGCGCTATCATCATCTTCTTTTCTTTATAGCTTATCTTCTACAAAGATAACATCCATGTTGATGATCACTTTGCGGGCAGTGGGATCCCACAAGCGATACCCTTTTACTCCATCAGCATACCCCAAGAATTTGCATTTCCTGGATTTTGGATCCAATTTTGAAATTTCTTGGGAGTTGTACATCACGTACACAATACTTCCAAATACATGAAGGTTTGAATAATCAGCTGGTTTACTAGTCTTGATTAATCAGCTGGTTTACCAGTCCACATCTCCATTGGTATCTTCAGCTCTACTGTAGTTGATGGAGCTCGATTCACCAAATAACAGGCGGTATTGACTGCTTCTGCCCAGAATGATTTTTCTAGGCATACATCCCTCAAGATTGCTCTTGTTCTTTCTAACAAGGTTCTGTTCATTCGCTTTGCCACTCCGTTTTGTTGAGGCAACAGAGGCTTCTGCTTCTAGCAAAGTCTCTCCCTTCAACATGTACAAGTTTGCAGCTATCTTTTCGCCTTTCAGCACTACAAGTGCTCCACAGAACACCTTCATGATTCATTTATGTGTTTCAATCTTGCTTGCATTATTATCCAATAATCTGTATGATAATAAATTTTTCTTTAGGCCTTTCACGTGCCACACATCTCGAACAACTTTAATTGTTCCATCGTACATCTTCAATTTGATGGTCCCCACGCCAACGATCTCTAAGGCATGATCATTGCAACTATACACAGATCCTCCTAAGTCAGGTTCATAATGATGGAACCATTCTCTTCTTGAGGTCATGTGATATGTTGCTCCCGAATCAATGAGTCATATTTCTGCAAATCTTTTTCTACCTTCCACGGTGGTTGACGCTTCACAACATAGAACATCTACATCATCTGAAGTGTTTGCGGTATTGCCTTGTGGATTGGAGTTTTTAGTTAGACTCCAACAATCATTCTTCAAGTGACCATTCTTTCCACAATTGTAGCACTTTAAATTCTTTTTGCTTCTCGACTTCGATCTACTTTGTTTGTGACTGCTACTTTGGCCACGTTCTGTTGATCTCCCTCTCATCATTGTCAACGCTTCTTCTTGTTGCAGATTTACTTGTATGTCTTCCTTGTTCTTGCGCCGATTTTCTTCTTGTAAAACAACAGCTGCAACATCATCAAATACTAGACTGGTGACATTACTGTTTGTCAAGTTGATGATGAGTTGATCATATGAATTAGGTAGACTTTGAAGTAGAAGTTCAGCTCGTTCTTGTTCTCCTATTGTACATCTTAAGGATGTAAGCTGAGAAAATAAAGTGTTCAGTGTGTTTAAGTGCTCCGTCACTAAAGTAGATTCTGACATATGGAGAGTGTACAATTTATTCTTAAGGAAAATTTTATTGTGCAACGATGTGGCCTCGTACAATTTGGTGAGATGATCCCATAACTCCTTAGCTATCTTTTTCTCCTCGATGCTTGACAATACTTCATCTTCTAATTCTAGATGAAAGTTTTCTATAGCATTCCCGTCCATCTCGATCCATTTGTTCTCATATGTGAAATCTACTGGCCTTTCACTGATAGTTGCTAGACAACCGTCTTTCCTCATGATGGCCTTCATCTTCAATTTCCACAATGAGAAATTTTCCCATTGAATTTTTCAATATCAAATTTCGTTGCCATAGCTTCTATTACAGATAGCTCCCACTATTTCACTATCGTGAATAGTTCTCTGGAACCTTCAAAGAATGTGTAATACCTTCTTACTTTCTTATGTTGGAGGATCCAGCTTTTGGTGGCAACCACAAAGACAATAAGTAGATATTATACACTCAAATCTGGTTCGGATACCAATTGTTGCGGAAGACGGCTATCGGATATAGCAAAATCGCAACTGATAAATTGAGAAAATAAAAATGAAGATAAAAAAGACACAAAATTTACGTGAAAACCCTGAAATAATATAGGATAAAAACCACGGGCAACGATAGAAGAATTTCACTATGAGAAAATAGGAATTACAACTTCTCTCGATCTACCAAGGAGAAAACAATGATAATTATCTCTTGATAAAAAGGAGAAAACAACTCTCAAGAAACTCTCTAAATTCTCTAATATTGGGAGAAAGCTAGAATGATTGGGGATGGGTTTGAAGCTAAATGAGCTAGGGTATTTATAGTTGAAGCTTAAGGACTAATTTGTAAATACCCTAAATTACAATGACTAAAATTGAAATTTAACCATTGTCCAAATTCAACAATTGTGTATTACCTTTTTGACAATTGTATTCGGTGGATTAATTAGTTTTTTCTTTCAACATTTGCATTCTACTTTCGGTGTATGCCAAATATTCAACAATAATTTCCCATAAATTCGGTTGAAATTATATGTGATATATGTTTGATCCTTATACGTGGTATGATAAACATAAACAATTTCAAAAATGCCAAAACTAGGTTCATGGAACATCTCAATCCCATGTTTGATCAATACCAACGTTACTAATTACAAGGAAAAAAAACCTAAATTATTCAAAGCTTTTAATAAGAAAAAAGTAGAAGTAGAAGACTCAACAAACATTAGGGAGATATTAATTTGAGTTGGATCATATAAGCATCCATGAGAAGTAGCATTCAACTGGTTTCGAATGCGAAAATACAAATCTATATAAACAAAAACCATTAGTATAATAAAGCATAGCCTAGCCGGATTTGTTGTCACATCGTTTTGTCCGAATAAACACCTCGGATTACAAATCCTTTAATCACATGAAACTATATATGTCTATAAGAAAAAAGTTCAAATTTTGCAGGGAGCAATCTCAAGAGGTCGTTGGCCGTACCTAAATGCAAAATTTTACCAAAGTCAGAAGAAGAAGAAGAGTTTTACATATTTATTATGAAATTAAAAGTATGAATTTAAATTACAATTTATAATATAATACGATTCTCAAATCTCAATGCAATACCTTGGGCATGAATCTTTAAGACATTTTGGTCGTACACTTTTGGTACAGAATTTTGGTTCCTTGTGCCAAGGTGCTAACCCTAAAATCACAGTTGACATCCAAGTCTCTCTTCCAAAGCTTTAAGATCCAAACGTTGAACACCAATGGACATTCCAGTTTCAGTTTCAAAGAGATTTGACGTTTCGTCTTTTTGTCGCTGATGCTCTTCTGAACATTAAGCGGCACCGTTTTCGATTTCAAGCCATGGATTTTAATATTGACGTTGCTTGAAACGCCGGCCTCTTGTTTGAGGCCCGGAAAGTCTCCGAATCCGAGGTTTTTAATCCAGAAATCGAGGATGGCGCCGTCTTTATCTGATTTGCATTGGACCCCCATCTTTTCATTCGGATTCTTGGCTTTCAGAGTCACATCATACGTGGGAGAACTGCCCTGTTTCTGTTGCTTTACGTGGAGCTTTGTGACGGCGAAACTGGGGGGTTTAGGGCTGAAGATGAAGTAAATCGACGTTAGGGTTCCGCATATTATAACGCCGAGGAGGAGCAAAACAATGACGAACCATAAAAAGAAATTGCAAAAATTCCCTTTTCCTTTCTTGCCTTTGGCCTTGGCCTCCTCGCGGTAGCGGTTAACGATGCCATCATTCTCGGGCGGTGGGACGCGGTAGATTTGGTCTTTAGGGACTTGGACGACGTAGGTGGCTAAGGGGTGGCCCGGAGGGGGAGGTAAATTCATGTTGGTTGGGGCGGCGGCGTGGGATGTCGGCGACAGCAACCGGTTACCGGCGGAAGACGCGACGACCCGCTCATCCTCCATGGGAGAGATGGGGTGCGAAAGAAATGGTTGAGGTGACAAAGGAGAAGGGGGAGGAGTAATTTAGGGCTTGCATGGGATGAGGTTGTTTCTTTGAGGTTGTGTGGTTGGTTTTGCGTTGAGATTGAATGTTTCTGTTAGGTATAAACAACGCATTTCCTTCTCTCTCTTTTTCTTTTTTCAGCTTTTTCTCTTTTAAATTAGTTTTCATTCGGTTCGAAGAACATGCTTCTATTTTTGGATACACATTGCATTTTTATTCTTGAAACTTCTCGTTTTTATCTTATACAATATTTTATTTTTATATAACTACCTTTTTTTAAAAAAATTGTATGTTTTCTAGAAAGGTTTGTACATTTTTTTTAAGAATAACTACTTCATAAAAGTATTAAAATATATAATTTCATGATTTAAATTGAGAAAAGTATTTCATTAATCGGCGGTGGAAAAATATTCCATAAGTAGGATTTTTTGAAGTACTTTTAGGTTTGAAATTTTTTCTCTCAAAAATTGTGTGTGTTTTTTTAAAATTAAATCTTCATCAATCATTTTAAATCATGTACGATTAAATATTCATAAAATTATTTATAGAATTCTTTTTGAAAATATAATTTAAGAGGTTTGAGTTTAAAATCGAAGTAAAATTAGATTCTATCACGAGTGGAGAAGATTAAAGCACTCTCACAAGTCATTATGCTCAAAATTGATGTTTTTTATGTTATCTCAATTTTTAAGAAAATATAATTATAAGTTTAAAATCAATTTATGATCTATTGAATGAATAGGATGTAAGTTGAATTAATAAGGTGAACCATTTTAAAAGCTAATACTTTCATTTTTTTTAAATATCCACTTAATTTTGTAAAGGATATTATCTTATCACAAATAATTAATAAGATAACATTTTAATAAATTAATAGACTACCTCAATTATCGTAACACAACAATATTATCTTAATTTTTCAAAAATGAATAAAATAATATTTTTTTTTACAAATAATTAAAAAGATAACACTCTATTAAGTCCGGAGACAACTCCAAAAATTATCATAATAAAACAACATTCTTTAAAATTGTTACAAATGCATAAGAATTAAATAAACAAATAAAATGTCATGCCGAGGTTTGAACTAAAATAAACTGAAAATTAAAAGGAAAAAATAATAGTCATTCATGCAAAAAGGACTAAATTGAAAACTTATAAATCAGAAGATATAAAATGGAATATACCCACAAATAAATAAATAAATAAAAGATTTGGGTGACATAAGTTGGGTCCGTCCGTAGGTTAAAGCGCAGACCCTTCTTGGGCTAGGCCTGACTCGATCACCTAATATAAATATATATTTTTAAAAAAAATTATATTTCCATCTTCCATTAAAAAAATATTTTCTTCTTTCAAATTCCTCTTCAAAACTCCAGAAATCGATAAGTTGTCGATACCTGAACTGCAGTAGCTCGTCAACGACAAAAAAATTCCTAAATGCTCCTTTCCAAAAGTCCTCATAAAATATAATGCCTTGTCATTTTCAACTTGAAATTTCCTCTCCTCGTATAAAACCGGAACAAAAAAATAAATATACATATAAATTTATATTCAATTTAATTAATTTCTATAATCGAGTGTAAGAAAAATAACATTTAACAAATTGAAATTTCATGTCCTGATTATTAGGATCACTTCCACTGTTCTTAAATTATAACAATATAGTAAATTGCATATTAATATACAAAATAAGAGCTTCCAAGAGTTTAAAGTTTCAATCCAATGGCGACCACAAAGCAGTTTATATTGCCTTTATTCCTCCTCTTCCACTCCTCCTCCATTGCTCGCTCCGTAAGCAAACCTGCCGCATTATCTCTGTTGCAACTCCATGTCTAACGTGTCTTTTTTTTTTTAGTGCATGCAGGACGATGAAGATTGTGTTTACTCAATCTAAATAAGAACCGGAACCATCATCAAAGGCGGAACAGACTCCGTCATCAGCCTAACATTCTATGACGCCGCCGGCCAAATCGTCAATATTAGTAACCTATAAGCATGGGGAGGGTTAACGGGGGAAGGGTACAACTATTTCGAACGCGGAAACTTGGATATTTTCTCGGGTAGGGGACGGTGCTTGACTGCTCCTGTATGTGCAATGAACCTAACATCGGACGGTTCAGGTCCGTTCCATGGATGGTATTGTAACTACGTGGAAGTCACCATGACCGGCATCCATACCCCTTGTACACAGCAGCTGTTCACGGTGGAGCAATGGTTGGCGCTCGATACTGTGCCATTCGACCTCACTGTTATTAGGAACAATTGTCACGCTGCGGCTAAAGCTGATCATCAGAAATCTGAAATGTAGATCAAGCTCCTGACGAGGGGCTGTAATTAATTAGTATCAATAAAATTAACAGGCAAACAATGGTGATGATTAGTGGGGCAACATATAAATTTTTTTGAAAAGACAAGCATGGTATAAGCCCCTGCGAAGGGAAACAATGAAATGTAATTAAAGATGAATGTAAATTAATAAAATATCTTCAATGTTATAATTTTAAAACAAGGACAATAAACTAAAAGATGTGAGATAAAAAAACAAAACAATTATACTTCATATTTAACTTTGTTTCTTACAACTTGTACATCATGTTGGTAATGTTCAATCCCGCATAGAGTTGGAAACACTATCGAGAATGAGTATTTAAGGCTTGCAATAGAGAACAAGGGAAATCTCGCGCGCCGTCGTCGCCGTCTCGTGGTGATACATGTCTTCGACACGTCCGTGTGATTGTGGTAATTCATCTTCAACATAAATTTTCTCTAAAAGAACAAATGAAAATGTGAAAGATTTTTCTAATTAGATGTCTGAAATTAAGTTGTTAATATCCTGAGTTATAGGAGTTACATGATTTAATTTTAGGATGTTTCAGCAGTTATAATAGGGTTTAATTTCATAATTAAAATCATATATTAATCTAATTTTTTGTTAGACAATTATACCCCTATTTCTAGCCTATAAATAGAGAGTTGTATTCAACTTCTTAACTCACTCCACAATTTACTATTCACTCACTTAGTGTTTCTAAAGCTATTCTCTCTATACTTTCTGATAAGAAGTGCAATACCGCCAACAATCTATTCCAGTTTCAGGTGTACGAAATTTGGAGCGATTATGTTAACCTCGGGGGACGATCCGCCTATTAGAGCGATTACACACATCAGAGCGAATTCGTTTCTAAGGCAGTGATTTTTATCACGACACGGTTTATGATTACAACTTTTTAATTATTATTTATTTTTCCAGTCAGTGCTAACGGTGTGATTTTGCAGTCCATATTTCCAACAATTTAGAAACGAAATCATATAAACTGTAAATATGACATCACCTTTGAGCAAGTTGATTCCCGATCTTTCCAAGCTCAATGCACTTGATAGAAAGAATTATTGAAGATGGTCCCAAAGAACCTTGATATTCTTCGAGCAACTTGACCTTGATTACGTGCTACTCACGTTGCTACCTACTATGCTGCCAACCCTATTTGTCAAAAACGATACTAATGCGGTTCTAAACGATGTTACCTTAGTCGTTGTTGCTGCTATCGTCGCTACCTACGAGTAATACGAGAAGGACAATAAAACGGTGCGAGGACACCTGCTCTGTCACATGTCAAACAAATTGTTTGATATGTTCCTTAGAGAAAGAAATGTCAAGGCAATTTTTGGACACTCTGGAGAAGAAGTATGGTGTTGATGATGTGGGCATCAAGAAGTACATCGTCAATGAATGGCTTAAATTCTAGATGATAAACGACAAGTCAATAGTGAATTAAGTTTATGACCACGAGAACTTGGTTGTCGACATCATCGTTGAAGGAATGAAAATGTGTGAGGTGCTTCAAGACAATGTCCTCATCGAGAAGCTGCCAAAGTCCTGGTTTGACTACCGTAATTCTATCAAACATAAAAAGAGAGATATTTCACTTGAGGAGCTGGTGGGCTATATGAAAATTGAGAAAGCCAATCAGTTAAAAGATAAGGTTGTTAATTCCCTTAGTAATTTATCTTTTAAAGCTAACTTGGTTGAATCCATATTCAAGAGGATCATGAAACGAGGGAATCGAAACAATAAAACTAAACCTCAGAAGGCTGCCAACTTCAAGAAATATGGAAAGGCCAAACCTGAAGGAAAGACACTTAAGTGCTATGTTTGCGGTATAGCCGGCCATAAAGCTTATCAATGGCAACACCACTCAGACAACTAGAATGACAAGAAGCCACAGATGCACATTGTGGAAAAGGATAATGACATAATTGCTGCGGTGGTTTTAGAAGTCAATCTAGTGTAGAACAATTCTGAATGGGTGGTTGATACTGGAGCTTCAAAGCACTTATGTGCAAGGAAGAATTTTTTCACCGAGTTCGAGGATGGGAACGAACGCATGTACATGGGGAACTCTAGCAGCTCTGATGTGCTAGGCAAAGGCAAGGTTTTATTCAAGTTAACTTCTGGTAAAACTCTGGCCTTTAATAATGTTATGTATGTATCTACCTTGTGTATAAATTTGATAAGTGGTGGCCTTTTGAATAAGGCAAACATTAAGTTAGCTTTTGAGATAGATAAACTTGTATTTTCCCGAAATAGTGATTATGTTGGGAAAGGTTTTTTAAACGATGGTTTATTTGTCATAGAAACTCAACTTAATGAAAATAAAACTACTAATTCTGCTTACATTGTTGAATTTGTTGATATGTGGCATGCAAGATTAGGGGACGTAAATTTTCATGCTTCAAAGAAATTGATGAATATGAATGTTCTACCTAAACTAGACATAACTAGCTTTAACAAATGTGAAATTTATGTAGAAGCCAAGCATGCTAAACCTCACTTTACTATTGTTTCTAATGGAAAGACTGAATTTTTAGAACTCGTCTATATTGATCTAGCAGACTTTAGAAACACTGAAAGTAAAGGAGGAAAATACCACTACATAACTTTTGTAGATAATTATTCAAGATACACAAAAGTTTATATCCTTAGAACTAAAATGAGTCTGAAAACTTCTTATTTATAAGGCATAAGTTGAGAATCAATTAAATAGGAGAATTAAACGACTTAGATTTGATAGAGGTGGTGAATATGGATCTAATTTCTCAAAAGATATTTGTGAGAAGAA